TTACACACCTTCATCTACAAATTACTACTCTGACAGCATCAAGGGGCGATTCACAGCCTCCAAGGACAGCTCCAATTTCTACCTGCAAATGACCAGCCTGAGAGCAGAGGACACCGCCGTGTATTACTGTGCCAGAGACACACAGTGAGGGAGAAACCATCTGAGCTCAGACAAAAACCTCCCCCTGCACAGACTGGTGAAGGGATTTCCTGGGGGAGGCGCTCTCGCTCCGCAGCAATGAGAACAGACCAAAGTATCTCCCCTTATCCGCACCACACAGTGACTCCACTGACTCCATCTCCCCCGGGGAGCGCAGGGAGCAGATGCCCAGGGTGGATTTCAGTGGAGCAGGGAGGAGCAGGTGCGTCCGCCCTCGCTCTGTGGACACCCGCAGTGACTCCCTGGGGCTTTCTGATCAAACACGCTCCAATTTCAGGCTCCCTCCTTTTCCCACTGAAGTCACTGGAGAAGCTGAGCCCGCAGCGAAGAGCAGTGGGAACGCTGAGCCCGGAGTGCGGATTATGGGCCGGAAGGGTCTGGCCAATAAACTAGAAGTGACCTTCCCCGGCAGCCCATTGATAAACCTCTGTGTGAAATTCACCCCTTTGTAAAGGGGCATCACAAGGGCCTGTCCAGCTACAGAGCACCAGGGGTGACTTTTCTCCTGCCCCTGCAGCACTGACCCTTCTCCTCAGACTGAGGAGTTTGACTCCAAACCCTTTCCAACAACACAGCCCAAAACAGAAAATTCCCCGAATCATCTTTGCATTGTTTGTCTCCGTCCTAATTTTCCAGATTCCCATGAACAAGGAATAGTTCAGTAATGGACCTGGCTCCATTGACACCAACATCAAAATGAGGGATGGGGCAGAAACAGACAGACAGACAGACTTTCTCCAGTCAGTAATTTAATGGTTGCAAATCTCCGGCGGGCAGAAGAAATAGCAGAAGGGAACATTCCGTGTTACAGCTGGACTCTGGAATCCACCTGCCGTGAGACTTAACAACGTGACGCTGCGTCACACACCTGACACTTCCTAGGTCCCCCCGTTATATTGTCCCTCCCCACCCCGGCCCATGCAAATGAGCTCCCCGGGGCCCTGTTCATAGCCCAGCCGCAGGCCGCTCCCACCGCTCAGAGCCAGCGCCGGGCTTCAGCTTCCCATCCCGCCTGGGGAACAAGCCGCCAGTGGCAGACATGACCCCCAGCCTGGCCATCGCCTTCCTCCTGCTGCTCCCAGCGGGTACAGGTGGGATCTGCACTGCCACTGGGTGCACGGTACCGCATGTCCCCTAATAATTGCACCGCTGGGAATCACTGCAATATTTCCACTTTATCTCCCCCTCTGCAGGTGTCTATTCCCAGATCAGCCTGGTGGAGTCCGGTGGGGGAATCAAGAACCCCGGGGAGACCCTCAGACTGACCTGCACCGTGTCCGGATTCTCTCTCACTAGCGACGGGGTGTGCTGGGCCCACCAGGCAGCGGGGAAGGGGCTGGAATGGATGGGAGGTATCTGGGCTGGTGGAGGCAATAACTATAACGATGGTCTAAAAAGTCGCCTCCCCATCACCAGAGACACTCCCAAAAACCGAGTGTTCCTGCAACTGACCGGCCTGCGACCCGCAGACACCTCCGTGTATTACTGTGCCGGAGACACACAGTGAGGGGAAACCTATCAGAGCCCACACTAACATTAACCTTGCGGGGAACCAGCCTTCTGGACTCTGGAGTGAGTCACAGACAGAAGCAGCAGCCGACACAGCGTCCTTCCGGCCTGGTTATTCGCTTCGCACAGATTCCATGGCAAGTTACAAGCACTTGTGAATTTAGCACCGCCTCATCCAGAGTCAAACAGGTAATTAGAGCTTC